ATAATTTCATTTTCTCTAGCATTTTCTTCTTTCTTCACCTGAGTAGTTTTAACTTAAATTCAGCAATTTACATCTTGTTCTATATAATATCACCTTGTTTCCAGAGAGGGAACCTAGTCCTTAGAGAAAATCAAGAGACTAAGCTCTAATCTTAGACTTTCTGCCTATTGGTTGCTAAAGTTTGAAAAGTCACTTCACCCTGTGAGCTTCTGTGTCTTTACCTATAAAACAAAAGGTTTAGATCATCTTCATGGCTTCCTTCACCTTTACAATGTAAGGATCTTACTGTTTATTTATACTTTTTTCAATGGTATTAATACAAATTTAATTTTATTTAGCCACTATATACAGACTTTCTTCCAAGCTGCTGTCTTTGACTATATTTGACTATATTATCCAACCCCTATCACTTTCTCTTTCCCGCAAGAGTCCGAGTAATGTCACCAATAATTTACTGAAGTCATAGTCCTCCAGGCTGCAACTCTTCCTTATCTAATGTTGAAAAGATGGCTCCCGGTAAAATTCCCTCTTATTAAACCCATGCTGATTCCTAGTAATTTCCTTGTTCAGTTCTAAGTGTTTTCCATGCTCTCTGTTAGCAACTTTGTTCTAGAAGATTACCAAAGCACATCATGCTTATTTATTTATACTTCTTCTTAATTTACATATCCTGAATTTGTCATTCCTCCTCCCTTTTCACCCTGTGGGAGTCCTCCCATTGTGTGTTTTTCAAATATTATTGATAGTAAATTCATAATATAAACTGAAACTGAAATTTCTTCCAGAATTCATTAATGGGGACAAACTCCATTCATATGATTACAGGAATTTTTTTTTGTATTATCTCCTACTTTGTGTGTGGTAACCTTTTCATATTATTTGTACTACCATTTCCATGTTAGAAACCATTCTCAATGGAGACAATGAGAAAGCAAGAGAGATGGAGCAGCATCTTTCTTTTATTTATGTTGAACCAACGTCCCTATGCGATGATTCTATATATTCCTGCCACAACTTCTCCAGAAACATAATTTTAAAACAAAACAATAGCAACAACAAAAACCACTTTGCTGCATTTTCACATTCTGTGCTTCAGTGTCCCTTATTTTTTTTATAGGCTCATGTTAATCATTTATGTTGTATATGGGAATGCCCCCAACATATATACAGACAGCAACTGTGTTGCTAGTTCATCTAAAACCAAAATCCCCCAAGTACAGCCTAGCACCCAGTAGATTCTTTAGAGTTTCCATCTTCTCTTTATTCTTGAGACTATTCTGTATTGTATGAATTATTTTTCAAGTCCTCCTGTATTCCATTTTAGAGTCTTAGTTTATGTGAAACATATCTCTACTTTTAAAATATTTTTTCCAAAGCATATATAACTATATCCTGCTTTTTCTTCCTCCACTCTATCTAATAATAACACAATTGGGTAACTTTCTTCCAAAATTTTACATTACTTCTCCATTCTAAAACAATTTTTCTTTTATCATTCAAAAATGATGTCCAGTGTAGGAGTTCCTTTATTTCTTCATGCTTTCTCAGGGAAACCATATGGCCAGTAAAGTAAGTCAAGAATATTTCGGATACCCAGCTTTTGGCAAATGAGACAGGCATCCAGTTAACAACTACCTGGATATTCCCCAACCCTAGTTTTAAATTTATGTTAAAAAGAAAGTTCCTGCTAACGGCAACTAGGCAGTCTATGGTATATATCATACCATTGCTTCTCTGTTCCTCTTTCACTTTCCACTGGATGCCTTTCTGTGTTTGAAGCCTCAGATTTTTTTTTTTTTTTTTTTTTTTTTTGAGACGGAGTTTCGCTCTTGTTACCCAGGCTGGAGTGCAATGGCGCAATCTCGGCTCACCGCAACCTCCGCCCCCTGGGTTCAGGCAATTCTCCTGCCTCAGCCTCCTGAGTAGCTGGGATTACAGGCACGCGCCACCATGCCCAGCTAATTTTTTGTAATTTTTAGTAGAGACGGGGTTTCACCATGTTGACCAGGATGGTCTCGATCTCTTGACCTCGTGATCCACCCGCCTCGGCCTCCCAAAGTGCTGGGATTACAGGCTTGAGCCACCGCGCCCGGCCGAAGCCTCAGATTTATAGTCACACAATAGAGGGTATGACTCTACTGTGAGGGGCTAGCCATGGTACTAGAAGTCAAAACACTTTGATTTTGCCCATACATTTTAACCATATGACTATGAACAAGTTTCCTCACCTAGCAGAACTGTTTTGCATTTCTAAAATAGAGATGGTAATATCCTCCACAAAAGGATTTTGTGAGTAACAAAAGAAAAGAATGTTTGTTTGTGTGTTTGAGTGTGTGTGTGTGTGTGTGTGTGTGTGTGAACATACCCAGTACATTGATACACGGTTTTACAAAAGAACAAACATATTTTTTAAATGAATCAACCAAACTAACATTCTTCTGTACAAATAAGGCTGGAGTGGATGAGAAAGATAAAGGTAAGAGACTTACAATCTACTACCTCCCATGGTATTTACTTTTAAGCATTTTAACCCTTATAATCTAAAGAAACTAATTTTAAAAGGAGCAGCCCACTGTGATAAAATTACTTCAACACTTCACTCCATGATTCATTTGTATTACATGTGTTTCTAATGTAACTCTGAATATCGTAAGTCTAACTGCATTATCACCCCATGCTATCCAGCATAGGTGATACAATTGAGATAATACTTACTGTGTTCCATTCTCATGTTTCAACTCACCAGATGTGCCTCCTTTCTCTACAGTCAGTTGTGGTCTCCTCATTAAACACACACGCGCGCACACACACACACACACACACACAAACACACACACACACACAGAACATAAAATTATTCTTAAAATGATGGCAATAATTGCTATCTGTCCCACAGACTTCCCCAACGCTACAGCTCACTGTGCCCCTTTCCAATGCAGAGAATCTCCTGGAGAGGTAGACATGAAGCCTATCATTAAAAAAACAAGAACTTTTTTTAGCAGCTTCTCATTACTCCTACCCCTCTGGGAGAAGAAATTTCAGCAGTTTAGGATTGCTTCACTATGATTCCTAGCTGCCAGAAAATAATGTCCAGATATTTTTTAGATTCTTTCATTCTGTCTCCCTGATGGGGTTCAGGTCCTGATGAATATAACTTGAAGATGAGGAAATTATTGTACCAAGAAGTGACGGTGTCTCCAGTGCTAGCCAGAAACTTCATAACAAAGTCAGGCCTATGCACAGACAGGGTTCCTATCACCAAGTCTTCCATAGTGGTACATAAATCCAACAGAAGCCAAGCACTTATTCTAGAAGTAATGAAAGTACCTCTTTGGTGACACTTGCCATTTTAATTAGGCTGAGTGAAGCAATATTCCTATGCCTAAATAAGTCAGTACAGGCCATTTTGTCCAGAGTCTCCGAGTCTTGGGAAAAAAAATGAGATAAATGATATATTAGCCTTTACTGCTTCATCCACCCATTCACCTCCATTCTCCCAAATTCAAGAATACTAAATGCAAGAAAGATTTGGGGTTTTAAGTTTGCATTATATTGTGTGTTAAGCCCAGGATTTCTAGCTCTTTTCTTTGTGGTTGAGAGGTAGCAGGACTGGAAAACATATAGAAAATGTTTGTGATAGCTCTGAACTATATCTAGTGTTGGTTTTAATAGGCCAGATCTCCAAGATCATGCTGTGTAGCTGTGTATGAACTTGGCTGTTGGTTTCTCTTGCCAGATGAAATGATGATTAATTGGGGCTCAGATGTCAGTTGTTTTATGTTGCTTGTGCTCTTTGCTAAGAGCTGCCTATTTCAAGCTGTGCTTCCTACATGTCAAATATAAATGTGAAACTACAATTTCCAAAAGGAAAAATTTCAAAGTACTAATATTTATGCCAATGTAGATAGAGCATACTGTAATATTCAATGTCATTTCTGATTAAAATCCACTTCGTATGTTACATATTTAACTTAAGTCAGTATAGAGAAAGAACTTTCCCATGTGATGTAGCCAGGAGAAATTCTTTTTAAAATATTATTATTCAATACGCATATAATCTGTTTAGATATTTATAAATATATATTTCTTCAAATACTCTATGCATAAAATGCTCCCCAATAAACAAATGTCATTTTCCTTTTTATTCTACAATAAATGAAAACAATACATATTATTGATAGCTCAATTATAAAAAATTTAAATCTTTGATTTAGAATTAGCTTTAAATACTTGGAAGTAGGTGGTCTGTTCTTAATACCTTTTTATTTGATTTTTTTAATAAAAAAGAACATAAAAAAACATTTTTGTATGATTTGTTTTCACAGAAAGATATTTTTAAAAAGAAAGTAAAGAAAATGTTGGTCAAGATTTTCAGGAGTTTAGAAAACTGTATGCCTAAAATGTTGGGTGGACTAAATAGAATTGATTTTTTTTTTTTTTTTTTTTTTTGCCTAACCTAGATGATAAATGTCTAATTTGGACTGTCCATGTGGCATGCAGTTCCCAAATTAAACTCTTTCAGAGACTGCCGTTTTTAGCAAAAGAGGGGGAAGTGAGAATTAGACAACACCCTTGCTCTTTCTATATGAGTGCAGCCAAGTTGTCTAAAATTTAAGTTTGGCCAATTCACTGTATAGCTCATTGCTTGAGCTATAGCAGGACCCCAGAAACAAAGCAACCACACTGAAAGCCCCTGAACTGGGTTTATGCCAGTCTAGAGTCTAGCACAGAGTGAAGAAGAGAGTGTGGTACCCTTCTCATTTCTCTACTCCGCCCCATCCTGAAGCACAAACTACCTGTGTGAGACCTGCTCCCTAGCGTCCAAAATAGAGTATCCAAGGAAGCATCCGGCATTCATCTCAAGAACTATCAAAGAGTGTAACGATTTAGAGTAGAGGGGAAAAGGGAGTCAGTAAAAGGTGTAGATGGTATTATTTATTTTCACGTCCAGTCACTTACCTCTGGGTTTCTAACAAAGGTCCTTCTTCTCCCTGTTCCAGGTGGCAAATCTGCTGCGGCTCTTCCAGATCCCTCAGATCAGCTACGCGTCCACCAGCGCCAAACTCAGTGACAAGTCACGCTATGATTACTTTGCCAGGACAGTGCCCCCCGACTTCTACCAGGCCAAAGCCATGGCCGAGATCTTGCGCTTCTTCAACTGGACCTATGTGTCCACAGTGGCCTCCGAGGGCGACTACGGAGAGACAGGGATCGAGGCCTTCGAACAGGAAGCCCGCCTGCGCAACATCTGCATCGCCACCGCAGAGAAGGTGGGCCGCTCCAACATCCGCAAATCCTACGACAGCGTGATCCGAGAACTGCTGCAGAAGCCCAACGCGCGCGTCGTGGTCCTCTTCATGCGCAGCGATGACTCGCGGGAGCTCATTGCCGCTGCCAGCCGCGCCAACACCTCCTTCACCTGGGTGGCCAGCGACGGCTGGGGCGCGCAGGAGAGCATCGTCAAGGGCAGCGAGCACGTGGCCTATGGTGCCATCACCCTGGAGCTGGCCTCTCAGCCCGTTCGCCAGTTCGACCGCTACTTCCAGAGCCTCAACCCCTACAACAACCACCGCAACCCCTGGTTCCGGGACTTCTGGGAGCAAAAGTTCCAGTGCAGCCTCCAGAACAAGCGGAACCACAGGCGCGTCTGCGACAAGCACTTGGCCATCGACAGCAGCAACTACGAGCAAGAGTCCAAGATCATGTTTGTGGTGAACGCAGTGTATGCCATGGCTCACGCCCTGCACAAAATGCAGCGCGCCCTCTGTCCCAACACTACCAAGCTTTGTGATGCTATGAAGATCCTGGATGGGAAGAAGCTGTACAAGGATTACTTGCTGAAAATCAACTTCACAGGTAAGCAAAGAACCTTTAAACATCTTCTGTGGTGCAAACAGGTGAAATCAAGCAGGAATCAAATGCCTCTGTGCCCAACCCAGAAATAATTGTTTCAGAGTCATAAAAAGGGTTCAAACTGTTAACCAAATATTGCAGGAAGCATTAGGATGGTTCTCTATTTATTTCCGAATGAACATCTTGGCTAGTACAGGACATGGCAATGAAGGCGCCCCAGGCTGGGCTGACAGCCCACTGTGGTAGCTCCCGAGATTAGGGCCAGGCTAGATTTGAGCTCTTTGTTGTTGTTGGCTGCAGGATTATGGCATGTGTGATATGGGCATTTAATCTTCTTTAGCAGAATTGGAAACTCTCTAGGGAACATGAACTTCCAAGCCTTCCTTGTAGGTGATTTGAGCAAAAGAATCTCATAATTTTCACAGTGGGTGAGAGAGAGAGAGAGAGAGAGGAAAGTCACTGTTTTCCCAGAGTGTAATTAGGGGCAAAACAGAAAAGACGCGCCGACCATGGTGATTTCTAGGCATTCAGTTTACTTTTCTGCTATACAGAAACATTTATATAACATTAATAGTTGGGGATTTTCTCCAATTACATTAGGAAACAAAACTTTTTCTGTGAGCTTGCATATAGGCAGGTTGAAGACTAATGGAAGTCATTATAATAGAGTACTGAGCACATTAAGGTGTATTCAAAGTGGCTTTTGCTGTCTCTTCATTTATTTCTAAATATTTCTAACTACAATATTGCATTGAATGCATTACTACATAAAATAGGCAAAATCTTTACATCTACATTCTCTACTAGGGTATATGGGATACTGGTTTATTAAGGCACTTGTTCTGTGTGCTATAGCTTAATCCCAAATCATAAAATAGTAATATTTTGGGACACAAAGATCTTTTTTTTTTTTTTGAGGCGGAGTTTCGCTCTTTTTACCCAGGCTGGAGTGCAATGGCGCGATCTCGGCTCACCGCAACCTCCGCCTCCTGGGTTCAGGCAATTCTCCTGCCTCAGCCTCCTGAGTAGCTGGGATTACAGGCACGCGCCACCTTGCCCAGCTAATTTTTTGTATTTTTAGTAGAGACGGGGTTTCACCGTGTTGACCAGGATGGTCTCGATCTGTTGACCTCGTGACCCACACGCCTCGGCCTCCCAAAGTGCTGGACACAAAGATTTTGATGCCAAAAACATTACAATAATAACATGCTTTCATCGATCTAAATTACTAATACCTCTTATACATTCTAGTATGCACAGTGTGTAGTCTGCTTCAATGGAGTTATCCTCCAAGACCTGAAAGTTTATATGCTCAAGCCATACTACCATTGGTGCAAACGGCAGTTCCCCTCATCTCACTTATAAGTGGTCACTCAGAAGTCAAGCAGTCTATGAAATCACAGGCAGTAATGAAAAAAAGATCTCATGACCGCTGGCTTCTATTCCATAATTCTTACCTGTAAGACAGCCTTGAAAATAAGCACAAAAATTACTAGCCTGCCTTATGGATATCTTTTTCACTTTCCCCAGAGAGGGCCAGAAGTAGTCAAAATCAATTAATTTAGTAATTCCTGCTATTCATCTGATGGATACCACTTCTTATCATTAGAATTAAAAGTGGTAAGGATTAAACTTTTCCTGTGCCCTGTATTCCCATGAGTGTATTTCATATAGAAATTTTTTAAAAAAATAAGGAGTAATAAATCACCTTGGAGTCAGTAAAAAAAAAAAGATTATCTTTACTCTAAAAGTAAATGAACTCTCATAAAAGGCATCTGCAATGCACTTAATTCTAAAAGATGAATAAGAATTCAGCACATACTCCCCATCAGACTACCCTTCAGGGTATTATTTATCTTTACTCACCACATATATTAATTAACTTTGTTATTCTAGTTCATTCCTTACTTCTTAGTATGCAAATATACAAATATATTCACTCATCAACAGCTAAAATGAAAGGAACTCTTGGAATTCAGAGAGCCTTTGCAAGGTGATTTATGTAACAAAACATGTTCCTTCATTCCAGTGACTTCTTGGGTCTTAAAAGGCAAAGAAAAGTAAAGAAATAAGCTCATCATTTGGATAAACAAAACAAAACAAGTATCTTCTTTTTGTCTTTCTTGTTCAATTACTCATTTCAAGTGTATCATTCAGTTTGGCTGTGCAAACCTGACCACAAAATGCTACTTTAGCCTTCTCAATTTGTCAGACATTACTAGTCATTCTCCATCTCTGAAGAGAGTAGGAGGGTGAAAAACAAACTTAAACTGCATAAAAGAGAGGGAATTTAGACCAGCCACAAGGTAAATATTCTTAGCAGTGAGAATTGGACAAGAAAACACATTACTAAGGGAAGATACCAAGATGCTAAGTTAGCTAACTAGTACCTGTAAAAAATAAGTCGAGAAACTGATGATAATAACAGAATGCAGATTTCAGTTTACAGTAACCTGTATATGACTAAATATATGTATACTTTTAACATAGATCTAGGTAAAAGATTATAAGTATGTATGTATTATTATTGCTTTAAAATTGAGATGCACTATGGAATATTTTTTCCTAGCTATTTAAAAGCAGATTCATTTTACTTTTGTTCTGAAACAGTACCTTTGTTTTTCTAACTTGAATATTGTGGCAGTAAACTAGGCACAATCGTACACACTTAGCTGACACTAAACAATCTGTTCAATTAGGTTGATAAAGTCTTCTGGCCATTTGCATGCACTCAATACATTTACTCCCAGGTTCTTCTGACAAGGGACACTTTTAGCCAATTCTCTAACAGCTCTCATCATTATAAGATTAAAAAACTAGGCCTCCTGAGAATTTTAAAATGGATTAAAATACTCCCTGGTGCTCTGGTGTGTTCCCACTAGCTAATAACAGCATTGGTCAACTCACCATGAATCTTGTTTGAAGCTACCCAGTTTAAATATTCCTTTTGCAAAACAGATTTTTAGAACTATGCCTTGCTAAAGATTATTCTAAGTAATTATCTCTCCTGGCATAGGATCTAACCGCTGTGCAGGTCTCTAGGCTCATCTCCAGCTGTATGCTCCACATTCACTCTTCCTTCCATTAACACTATTTGCAGTTCCCTGAACACATCATGCCTCTATTTTGCCTGTATACTTTCTGTGAATGCTAGTTCTCATCTACAAGACTCTCTCCCCACTCCCACCTGCCTTTTCTGGCACCTTCAGATACTCTTGTGTCTATTCGAGATTCAATTTAATTAATAATTCCTTTCAGAATCATTCCTTTACTTTCCAAAGTATAGGAAGGGGCATTCGTCTCAGTTTGGGACATTTCTATACTGTCCCAAACTGAGACGAATGCCCCTTCCCATTTCCATATCAATCTGTGATTTTGCCTTCCTTCATACTTTTATTCAATCCACCAAAATCTCTGTTGGCTCTACCTGCAAAATAGAACCAGAATCTGATCACTTATCATCATCTCAACTGCTACCACCCTGGTCCACACCACCATCTCTAGCCTCTATTTCTGTGATACTCTACTAATTGATTTATTCTTGCCTACCTCCAGCCTAGCTCCCATAATCTATTCTCTACGTGATAGCCAGGATGCCCTATTAAAATCTAAGTCAGACAATGTCCTTCCTCTACTCAAAACCACTTGAGTTCCCTTGTTTCACCCATAGTGAAAGTCAACATCTCCTGGACAGCCCCACCTGCTCTGCCCATACCTATCCTTACTGCTCTCCTGTCCTCACCGTTTACTCTCCTTCTTTCTCACTTCACTCCAGTCACCCTTGTTTCCAACATTAGGGCTTTTCCACTGCCAGTTCTCTCTGCCTATATTGCCCCTATCCCAGATATTTCTTTGGTTAACCAGTCCCCTACTTGTTTCAAGTCTTCATTTAAATGTTATCTTCTCAATGTGACCTACTCTGGCCATTCTTAACAGCCCAATGCATTAACCTCAACCCCCACTACAGCTGCCCCTATTTCCCTTGTAACCTGCTCTACTTTTTGTTTTTTACCCCATGATTTTTCCCCTTCCATCATACTATATCATCTAATACTTTCATATTCATTCTTTATTGTTTGATCTTAACACTAGAATATAAGCTCCACAAAAACAGAAATCATTATCAGTTTTGTTTTATGAATGCATCCCAAGCATAATAGGTGCACAGTAAATATTTGTTGATTGTGAATAGAACTTAACACCCAAACTTGCGTTTTCTTCTCTATCTTTATTACTAAATTGCGGGCTCTTTCAAGGGATAGCACATATATTTTATATCTGATCTCAAATACTTAGCATGGTTTCTGGTAGAGAGCAGGCATTATATAAATGTTTACAGAAGGAATGAGGAATTATAAAAACAACCAATTGATTTGTAATATGATGACTTTGGAAAAATTAAATGTATAAATTTTGTTCATTAACAAATGAATGTCAAGAAAGAAAAGCGTATGACTTCTGGCGTGGCTTGCTTTTACCTACGTACTCTCCTTTAGTTATATTCTATCATTTCTTTTGAGATAAATGTAACCAAATATCATTAAAGCTAAAAGAGACCCATCACTGTTTTGTAGATGAATCCCCAGAATTGAAAGTGATTTGTACAAGGTCATTTAGCTGGTTAGTAACAGAGGCCAAGACTAAATTTATGTCACCTGAACCCAGTGCTGCTTTTGTATCTGCACAAGGACTCTGGGAAATTGATATATGCAATCCCAATCATCTACCACAGTTTCTGGTGTGCTCTAAATATTGATGAAATGCTACTGAAGGAAGGAGAGATAATCAATGTTTATAATATGTTTTCTTTTTGTTTCTTTTTAAGATACCTTTAATGCTTCTGGTCCACTTTCTCAGTTGACACAAAGGTGGTTCATCATACACCCAAACTTTAAAAGCTGAGCCTTGAATTCCAAACCTTAGTATACTTAAAAATAAATAAACCTTCAAATCATTTTTAATTGGTCAATGAAATTGTTTCCATGTGTAAAAGTCATGTCATC